ATGAGTGTGATGAAATTTTCTTGAAATTGCTCTAAGTTTGTTCGATCGGGATCGAACAAATGTAACCCAAAGAGGAACTACATACCCAAAAAATATGAATCGCGCTTTTAGGTTAATTTGTGTTCTACACTTTCCACAGTAGCACAAAATATAAGTTACTTTATTTTACTGTGTGGCATTTACTAAGGGTGTAACTGTACACATAGATGAACCTCATTATCAAAATAACTATATATTTTTCAGGGTTCACGTAAAAATGTAAATGCATGTTTTTACTTCAGATGCGGGCAACAAACTAAGTCATTTAAGTAATGTATGCACGATAATGGATTAAAATACGCCACCTTGGATGAGCAATAGTTTTTGCGACGCTGTGACTTTTTTATGTAAATGGCGTGAACTTTACCTGTCAACAATAAAGTGTAATAGTCACTTTCTGCTGCAGGCCAGGTTATGCTAATCGGAGGATCTGGTGTCGTGTCACCACACCGAACTACTTGTCCCAAATTTATTCTAGCTTTACTTTTGTACTCTACCTGAAAAAGAAGGAAAACATTACTCAGGAAATAAAAGGAGATGCAAGAATTTGAAAATGTATAATTATTGCGAGAAAAACTATGCCTTACAAAATTTAGGAAACTCTTTCTTTCCGGCACTTTGATTGCAATTCAGTGCAGAGTACAAACATTAAATTGCTAAAAAAAAAAAAAAAAAAAAAAAAAAAAAAAAAAAAAAAAAAAAAAAAAAAAAAATTGAGTGCCAATACAATCACAGATCGGAGAGACGTATTCGGGCCTCGTTTTTTAATTTTTCTTCCACATCGACACCTCATAAACAGGGTAAGAGAGTGCTCGTATATTGCCAATTTGGTAAACATTTCAATAAGTACTCCTTACGTTCAAAAACGTGGAAATAGCATTAATAATACTTCAAAAACTATTAAAATCAATGCATTTAAATTCAGGTAAAATTGACTCGGCTTGGAACTTTGCGTACAAAATAAAATCATGGGCATCTAAGGGTTGTCCTGGGAGACTGATTATTATAATGTGATTCCATGACAGAAAGAAATAAACATTAATAACAAATATTAAGTGCAAAAATATACTATCGAGTGATCTTACCTAACCTTTAAATAGTCTTTTGGAGCCTTATGGACCACGTCTGGTATTATTTTGTCTTCTAGTAATCGCAGTTCTATCTCCTCAGGCGTGGACGGGAATTCATCCCGATCTGGCCTGTTTTTATTCCAAAATCTAGCATCTTTTTGCCCCAAGCAGTGTACTACCAGTGATGACGTCACCCATGCTACAACGACCATTAGCTCGCCTCCCACCATCCTTTTAAAGTGTCATTCGCGCTAAGGAAAAAAGGAAATGATCAACTTCACTTACATTTTAATACAATTGCATTTTCAGTTAAAGTATTCATAAAATTTAGTAAAAATTTGGTTGGAATAATTTGAGCTAAAATAGATCCATTAAAAGACCAGGAAAACGTTCTGAAAGCGTTATCAATGAAATTATTACTAATTGAAAACCTAAAAATGTGATCATAATTGACTTGAAAGTCACAATTGTCTGCTCTCAAGCAAATTTTTCCTATAAGATTGTACTCATATTGTCCTAACTTCATTATCAATAAACTGGCAACACTGAAAATAATAGAACAAATCACAAAGGACATTAGCATTAAGGGTGGTTTGAATGAAGATCGACTGTAAACTTTGATTTCATAAACGCCTTCAAATAATGCTGTTTAGCGTATACTGGAAAGATAGTAATGTTGCATACCTTTAGAAACGAAGGAAATTCAAGGCTGGTAATTTCAAAAATAGGGGTAGTTCACTTCATGGCTTGAGGTCGACTTGAGAATCAGTTCCGTTCTTCGATAACACCACCACAGCTAATTCTTACTCGGATCTCTCTTAATAACTCTAAGTTCCAGTCGATGAACAGTCCTCCACTTTAGTGCCGAAAAAGTTCCAAGAGCAGACACAAACTAAACTAAACTATTAGACCGTGCGCATATAGTACTAAACGCTTTCAAAGAGATGAAGTCAATTTTTAGAGGTTCTTCAAGAGGGGCCTGCGCATGAAATTAACAGTATTTTCTTTTTATTTATTTTGATTGTTTTTCGAATTAATACGGCATTGAACATATGATTTAATCACAACAAAGAGTTAAAATACCGCTTTATAGATATTTTTAATCTTCAAAAATGACGTGACAATAGAAAGTATTTAGACGACACTAAAATGCAGTTCAGGGCAACTTCACCTTGAAAACGTCCTTATCAGGATTATTACCCAACAGAGTCAAGCATTTTGGGCTCAAAGAGTTAAAAAAGAGTGAACTGATGGAATGTCATTAAAATAAATGAGATAAGAATAATTACTGCACGATTTTATCTAAAATATTACGCTGAATGTCGAATTTTACGACTGATAAGTTAAATTACCTCCCATGAAGCACTATGCGTGGGCTTGTCTGATAGGGTTAATCAGTGGTGTCAGTAGCCATGTTTGTAGACGAGCAACTCGTCAAGTTTGAAATTGGGGGGGTGACTTTTTTTTTTTTTTTTTTTTTTTTTTTTT